ATCGATTTTCGGACACACAGTGTGTGTGTGTGTGTGTGTGTGTGTGTGTGTGTGTGTGTGTGTGTGTGTGCGTGTGCGCATGTGTGTGTGTGTGTGTGCGTGCGTGTGTGTGCGTGTGCGAGCGTGTGTGTGCGTGTGTGCATGTGTGTGTGTGTGCGTGTTGTGTTTCATGTAATGTGCTGCCTTCAATAAAGTAGAGGGCTGGTTTCTCAGCATTTATTGAACGTGTCAGTGCACAGCAAGACGATCCTGGATTATCCTCTGCATGCATCTTGACTGGATTATCCTCTGCATGCATGTTGACTCGTTACCTTACCATTGTAGTTTGAAAGAATGCCAGCCTGGCAAAAAATGGAACTCGCTGATCGGTCCCCTCCTATGCCTCACATTTATTGTGCGATGTGTTGCAGTGTCCTCGGATTGTCTCGCTATTGGCGGAATCGTACAATCCACATGTGAGATACGGTGCTGCAATGGCTGTTGGCATCTCCTGTGCCGGCACGGCTCTTCCGGAGGCTATCTTATTGCTGGAGCCCTTGGCGTCAGATGCGGTTGACTTCGTTCGGCAGGGTGCCCTCCTAGCAATGGCCATGGTTCTGATGCAGACAACAGAAACAAGGGAACCACGTGTAGGGACCTTCAGGTACGTCTGGTTCAACCGTCTGATGATGCAGGTTCCCGGGACTACTGTTTGAAGCTCTGTGTTCGTTCCGTTGCTTGATTTCATTTCTCCCCGGTGAAATGTGGCACAAGCTACCGTCTGCACCCGAATTGAACACCCGGTCGTTATCGCTGTGTCTAGACTGAAAGGTGCCCCGAACACAGCTATAATGAGCGAACGTTTTATTCGGGTGAAGAAGGTAGTGGATATGCTCTTTCCCTTCACCTGAGATACCACTGTTGAGAGATGGCTTTTGTGGAGTGTTAGATTGGAATCTAGGTCGTGCTGATTGTTAGCACTGACAATTATTACTACGGGATCTCAGAAGTCTCCTCGCACCACCGTGGAGATATTTTTCATCAGTTCCAGCGATCCTGAATTTGATTGAAAATCTCTGCAAGCAACTTTCCGGAGATATACCTTCGGTGTGGAGTTCTGTGGGAAAAGAAAGTGAATAGTGTTTGGTGTGTCTCAGGAAGCCGTACTTCGTCTAAGCCTCCATTTTTATCTATGAGGGTGCTGCTGGCTACTCTTGCTTGCACTCGCATCTTCCGGTTGCCCGCCTGGTCTTTTTTTTTCGCCCGAATGGGTGGAATGATGGCATGGGTGAATGCCTTGTCCTCTATTGTCTGTGTAAGTTGCATGAAAAAAGAAAGGGATGGGGAATGCCAGTGTGCCTCTCGTGCTTATTTTATTTGTAGCTGGGCTCACAGGGGACTTTCATTTGTGATTTGGCCAGGAAACAATTGAACAAAATTGTGGGCGATAAACATGAAGACACCATGAGCAAGATGGGTGCTATCTTGGCGGCTGGAATATTGGATGCTGGTGGGAGGAATGTCACCATAATGCTGAGGTCCCGGTCAGGTCACGACCGCATCACAGCGATTGTCGGGATGGCAGTTTTCACGCAGTTCTGGTATTGGTACCCCTTGATCTATTTCATAAGTCTCTCGTTTGCACCAACTGCCTTGATTGGGCTTAACGAGGACTTGAAAATGCCTAAGTTCCAGGTGCAGTCGACTGCCAAGCCATCCCTGTTCGCGTACCCCGATCCCGTGACGGCGCCAACGACAACAACAGCGACGCGGGTGGCCACTGCGGTTCTGTCAACTGCCGCAAGGTCGAGGGCCAGGGCAAAGAAATCTGACAAGGATGCATCGATGGCTGCAGCAGAGGTCAACGGTAGCGCGGTAGAGAAGGTGGCCGCCGACTCTATGGAGGTGGAGGATGGCGGTATAGAGAAAACGAGCTCAAAGGATGCTGGCACAGGGCGAACCGAGGCAGCTGTAGAGCAAACGCCGGAACTGATAAGTAATCCGGCAAGAGTGGTGCCAGCGCAGGAGAAGTACATCAGGTTCCCAGAGGGGTGCAGGTACATGCCTCTGAAAAAGCTGCCTGCAGGCTTTGTAATGCTGAAGGACATGCAGCCCTCAGACCCGCAGGATCTTGTTTCAGCGGATGGTCCGTCTGGGGGATCTAGTGCTGTTGGCGGTCCGGGTGGTGGAGGAGCTGCTGGTGGGGCAACACCAGGCACAGCGCCTCCGAAGCCTGTAGAGGAGGAGGAACCTCCACCCCCTGAACCTTTCGAGTACGTTCCAACGAACTAAACGGGTTGTTTTTCATGCCTCTTGCAAGAGGAAGGGCGAGAAGGGAACAAGTTATGGGGTATTGAATCGTGGAAATTGGTGGTGAAGGACCTGAAGGCCGCAGAGACGGAAAGAAAATGGATGTGAATGGCGGCGGGCGCACTGGCTCTGAGATGTGGCGGGGGAGGGATGGATGTTCAATGCGAAGAGATCAGTTTGCCCGTGGTGAAGCAGTGCCGTTAACAGCTTGCCATTTCATCCTTCACAGGGGAGGAGCGTGTTCGCTGCAATCGTATGCGGAGGACCTCTCACGTTTGAGAGGTAGAGTTTTTTGGGTTGGGGTTTTATTTGATAGCCTTCTATAGATTTTGCTGTGTTTGGTCCATATACCGACTCAGGTGTCCTCAGTAGCGAAGCTTGCTGTCATGTGGAAAGTGAAACTCGCGAGCTCTCCGTAGCAAGAAGGGGTTACAAGGCTTGTGGCGCCGAGTGTTTTCTTCCCATCTTCATGAGAGGAGGATGGAATTCAAAATGCAAATGCAATTTGCCCTTAGGCTGAATCCTTTTTTTTTTCATGTGTTCCCTTGGTGTGCAAGTCATCAGTAGTGAAAAGCAGGTACAGGGTTTTTGGTAGCATTTCGTTCCATTTCTGGGGAGCAACATAGGTCCGAAAAAGAGATGTGTTTTGCTTATTCCTCTTTTTTCAAGTTTTTTGATGGTTTCATCGCTCGAAATGGTATGTGAGGTGTGTTTGGTGCCTTGCAGATGTCGATGTTTGCTCTCAGCTCACACCACTAGGTGACCAATATGCACGAAGCATCGCTAAGCAGGGGGCTCTTGTGCCCTTCATTGCACCCTGCACGATAAGATGCTCTGAAAGGTGGCAATTGTCGAGTGTGTCGTCTTAACGAATGGCATCGTTGACCAATGCTTGTGAAAATATGTGCATGGATCTGGGTGTCAATGTCAAGGGCATTGTTGACCAATGCTTGTGAAAATCAATCTGGGTGTCAACGTCCAGGGCATTGTTGACCAATGCTTGTGAAAATATGTGCATGGATGTTTGGACAAAATGATTTGTGCATCAATCCCCTACTGCTGGAGCCCTTCCCCCCGACTCCACACTCTCTCTCTCTCTCTCTCTCTCTCTCTCTCTCTCTCTCTCTCTCTCTCTCTCTCTCTCTCTCTCTCTCTCTCTCTCTCGATCATTTTGTCATTTCCCTTCTTTTCTAATTTGAAATGGTAACTCGTCGAAGCAGCCGCCATACAGCTTCTCCAACACCATATGCTAAGAATGTGAAATCGGGCATGGGGCACCTTCGTCAATCCTTGAAGAAAGAAATGAATCAAACTTTATTTGTAGAAGAAAAGTGAATTTTTTATTAAAAAAATTGCAAGCTTTGCCTCGTAATAGTGCGGGTACTCAAATTCAAAAATATATGTTTTGTATCTGGAAGATCGAAAGCTTATTATAGAGACTTTGGAATATCTCGTCATACATTTCGGGAGATGGCTCATGCGTGTTTATTACCTGGACACTTGCAGTTGACCAACAGAGTCCCTCCGCGACAGAAACTCTGCTGCACCAGCTCACTTCAGCCGAAGTTGCCGTGAATCCTCAACCAATGGGAAATATTTCACGAAAAGAAACCGCCACCGTAGCTACGAAGTACGCAGCGGCATGTGGAATACCCGTTAGCGGGAATTCTCTTAAAATTGGGAACTTACGTTTTTTAAGATTTTCAATACCAATGTTTCCAGAAGCTACTCTTTATTTCACTCCTTTCATTTATACTCTTTAGTGTGATTGCTATAATATATACTTAACTACATGAAGACATATCGATCTGAAAAAGATCATTGCAAGGCCAAGGAATACCTTCGCGGCTGATTTTTTATCTATTGACCAAATTGCTGATTTTGACTACGTAGAGGCCAGCACAACATTGTTAATGATTAATACCCTACGAAAGAGTGATGTATGTTTGTTTTTCCATTGATTCATTTTATTGACAGCTGGGTGGAGGACCCGGTAAGTGATCAATAGAGCCCAGTAGATGGTAACGACTCATAGAGGGCCCTCGAAATCAGACGAGGTTTGACCAGCATGCTTCCTAGCCCGGGCAATGGTCCATGCTGACCAAGTTCCGGCAGTTGTGATGTGTGTTAGGAATTGTATCTTCGTGTGCAAAGAATTTGTGGAGTGCACCGTCTCATTTTATCATCCCCAAACGAGTCGGAAGGGTCCATAATCAGATTTCAAAAAGTAGCTATCAACAATGTGCGGAATTTCGCCAGTCCTTTGAGGGCATACACGCAACATAATTGGTTGCAAACCCTGGAGTTCAGAGGCTACTGCGAAGCCAACATCGGCCTCAACTCGGATCCCAACCGATAGTAACACCCCAGGAGAACATTTCTTTGTTTGTTTTTTTTTTCCCAAAGGCCAGGCGGGGCCTGCGAGGTGTGACATGAGCATCTCTTTAGCGCAGAGCGCCCTCTGGATGCTCCAGTCTATTGGTGGGGAGCAGAACTTGCTGGAAACAGGGTCCATTGTCCCATTGTGCACGTTGTACCCTCTTCTCACTTTTTCCCGGGGCCATTTGACCAGTTTTCAGCTATATGTGGTAATGCAGACGAATGACAAGCACATGCGTCTTCAGCTTCCCATGCCCGCTGGATTGGCAGAATTCGGAGCCCCAGGGCAGCGGTATAGTGGGCTTTGGCGTCTGTGTCAGGGTGGTGCATTTTTGGCAGTGGGCGACCACAATGCAAGTGGATTBTTAGAGGGGGGGGGGGGAATTTGGGGGACCGGTCCTTCTTATAGAACTGAAGGACCGGTCCTCGGGTGGAAGTGGACCCAAAAAAGAAGTGAGGGCATGTGAACTGCAAAAGGGCCCTCAGGCCCAGGTGTTGAGGCCCGTCTTCTCAAAACAAGGAGGTCAGGCGCAATGAAACAGGCATTTTGCAAGAGGAAACTTTGGATAAATTTTTGAGAATCCATTGCTGAGGTCGTGTTCTTTGCAGAAAAAATATCAGAACATTTTCAAAACACAATTTAGACCGTGAAATAATCATCGCGCCGATTTGGCACAATTTCCATTTTTGCCACTCAGCCATGTGTGGGCCAACTGAAAAAGTACTCCAAATTCAGTGAGTTTTTGTGGTCAGAAGAATGCGCGAAAACCCAAAGATTTTGTTGTGATCTTTCCACGAAAAATGCTAAATACTTTTGAATTCCAACTGTGAAATAAATCAGGGCTGCAATTTGACCTACATTTCAATTTTGTTATTCAGCATCTCTCTCTCTCTCTCTCTCTCTCTCTCTCTCTCTCTCTCTCTCTCTCATGAAAAAGATCCAAAGGCAATCTTCCATCCTCACTCTTGTACTGTGCAAAAGTCTTTTATATCATATCACTCTTCAGCACAGGTGGAATTGTTTGGATCACTTGTTGTAGATGAGCAGCCATATGTATTAGAGGACATTTCTCACTGCCCGTTTGATGTTTCTCTATCTGATCTCTCGAGGGGATCTTTCATCCTCGTTGACATTGTCAAACATATCGGCGTTCAGCTTTTTTTGCGACAGGCGAGATCCCTCCGGCCAAACAAGAGACAACTTGGGGACAGCGTCGAAAAGTCCCACGAGCTGCTTAGACAGATGTGGTGACGTTGTCCTCTTGTCAGTCTAGCTGGGTGCGCCAGCCGTACATCCCGCGGTTACCTACGATGGGATAGGTTAAGGGGTTGTCAGCACCCTTAGGGGCGTATCCCTGTCGAGTTACTGAACCACTCGCGAAGCTTTTGGATGCTATTGCCGAAATAGGTCAGTCAAGGGCGTTTGCGCATTCGCTGCAGTACAGGCAGGTGTGGTTAACACGTAGATTAACTCAGATGTCGTTCGTTCCCTTGGGCTTCAATCTCCTAAGTATGAAGTGAAAGTGGTTTCGACCAAGCTTAAAACCAGTTACTTAATCCTAGTCCTTTGAACACAACTTAAAAAAAAAAGAGGTTACACAATTATAAAGTATCAATATACCGAAATCAATAAACTATTAGTGGATTGGGAAGTATATTCGAATTCATCGTGAGTTGACCTGAAACAATCATGTATAAATGCATTGAAATCAATAAACTATTAGTGGATTGGGAAGTATATTTGAATCCATTGTGAGTTGAATTGTAAGTATTCGAATGACAAGGTCAATAAAACATAAGATCGATGTAAAATGATCACCTCAAGCCTAACTAAGTAAAATATTGTACTGGACCGCCAACAGAGAGTTATAGGAAGATTTAAAATTCCCCTCGAAAGACACACACCCGACCCTCTAGGAAGTGGTTTGGAGTATTCCTCGCCCGAGCACAAGGCTCGGATATCAAAAGTCGGACCCTTTTCATTGAATCGACGAAGTACCCCGCCGTAAGAACAGATCATTCTACGTTAGTAATAGGGTCGGCCCCTAAAGCAACGAACCATTGCCCTAGATGGTTCCTAGAGAGCGGGAATATGCCGACCGCATGCAAACTTCAAATGTTTCTATCCTCCCTTGCCCAAGGTAACTTAGACGGAAAGAAATAGAGGAAAAAGACGAGGAGGATTATTTGGACAAGTATAGGCAGATAAGGTTATTCATGATCGAACAGATAAACTTTAGGAAAAAGTTATATTCATGGGAACATTTTTAACTTGTTATCATTTTTTTCATCTTTTTGAAAACACTTAATCCAACTTACATTAAGCTGAGTTGTTCAGGGCAAACACACAGGCATGAAAATCGAATGAAAATTGTCCTTCCTAAAATACAAAGTCCAAGCACTCAATTTATCATTTTTATTTCATTCGTTTACTCGTACCTGCGTTCAAAAAAAAAAAAAAAAAAAAATCACAATCCACATCGAGGTCAAACTTTTTCATTCACGCAGGAATACACATTTTAGTATGCCTTTTCAGATAACATTTAATGAACAGGGTCGAACAAATCGAGGTTCACACAGATGTGAGGAGTCGGAGTCGGAAACCGACCTTGACTTAATAGTAGACTGACTCACTCAAGAAAGTCAGATGATATCCTAATTGAGTAAAAAAACAGATATTGTTTACATCAAAATGTTCAATCCACAATTAACCTGACCACAAAGACGATCTACAGTTGTCCCTCAGCAACCAACCCTCAAGGAAGCGAATTAAAATGGGGTAATCGTCCAGGAGGGCGGCTCCAAAGTAAGTCGCACGCAGTCTCAATTATCACAAATAGTCTCGACGCAGTTTCAAGTGCACCACCAAGATCTGAGGGTTACTCTGGGTCCACCATTAGTCTCAAACTGCTCCTCAGAAAATATAAATTTGAGCGTCTCCGTGTGTCGCGGATCAAAATCACCATTGATAACAATAAAACTCGGGTTTGGGGATAATCTTGGTCCAGTGGACGCTCGACAACACCTCCACCAGACCACCTCGACACACTCAAACAGTCGCTGCCGCACTCGTACCATTCCCGAAAAATTAAATGCTACCACAATACCACTATCGTATGTCGTGTCGTAGCCGACCACCGCATCTCACCTCTAAAAACAATCTCCAGACCGTCAAATGGACAACATCTCTCCTTCAAATGGTGTCGCCGTCATGCCAAAAATTCGGCAGGACCTTTCCTTAGATAGACCTCGATGTCGTGGCAGCAATCAAGCAGCACTCTGTGTCAAAACTTCATAGTTGACGGGCTACAATCCAGCAGGATAACCTGCACCGCAAATAATGGTTGCCGCCTCACCAAAGTTTCAGCGGCATGACCTCCATAAGAGGTAATGCCGGTGTGGCAAACTTTTGGCCGCCTCACCTCCTTCAATCAGTTGCGTCGTTGCTGAAAAAATTCGCAGCGTCTCCTCCAGACGTCACGGACACAGACTATGGTTATGGTTGCTTGTTATAGGTGTATCTGCCTAACTCCACCTTCAGCCTTAGTGCGAACCTCCATCCCCTCCAGCCGCTCCAATTGTAGCCCAGTACTAAGGC